GTTTTTTTTATTGACCATAGATAATTTTGGATAAAGAATCGAGTGATTGTATTTTTGCTTTGGATAGGATACAAAAGGTCTAACCTTGTCACATGTCAAAGGTCCATAACATCGATCCTCAAATGATCTTTTAGTCCATTTGATATTCAAAGAACTACAATATTAAAACTTGCCTTATTTCTCATAACCTTAAGAGGTAGTATTTCATTTAAAATTTTAAATATAAAATGAATTACACATATTTAAGAAAGTAAGAAAGAAAGAACAAAAACAAGTTCAAACAAAACATGCTTTTCTATGCAAGTGTAATAAATCTCTATGATGAATGAACAACAAACTCTTCTAGATTTGCCCCATCACTCGCTAATGGTCCATGTCCCTGAATCAATTAAAGTCCAGACCTTACGCTTTAATGCCCCAAAATTCTTAGTAGTATGCCCTGAGCTTCCTATATGATAACTATAAATTACGTTAACATCGTAACCTTCAAGATTTGGGGTTATTTGGGCTTAGACTTAACTGGAGTCACAAGGTCATTTTCAACAAGTCTTGGAAGTAATTCCTAATATGTCATTGGAATTGGATAGATGAACGCATTTCATCGAATCACTATCCGAGGTTTGGTCCTATTACCAGTTGAAAGAGATCCCACCATACAGATTTCAACATTCTTGCCAGTGTTGGTGTCTCTAGTGCTTCATATCTGGCCATTTTAGATATCCATTTCAATCATCTCCCCCGATGTAACTAGCTCAACAAAGCTCTTGGAAGCATTTCCTATTAAATACCCTATGAAAGGGGCTCTCAACGTATTTAGAAAGAGCATTGTTATCTCTTGTTCAGCTAAATGAGGGTGAACCTGCACTGCTATGTCCCTCCATATTAGAGCATATTTCCGGAAACTTTCATTAGACATATTTTTCTATGCCTTGCAACATGAATCGAGTAAGTATTGTATGATTCACATGTTTATTTTACTCTAAGAAAGACTTGTCTTGAAAGTAGTGAATCCACATTTGATCGTTGTTATTATATCCAACATTCTTCGACAAAACATCATGAGATGATCGATAGGACAACTGGTTCCACTATACTTATCAAAACAAGACATCCTGAATTTATGTGGAAGCACTAGGTCAAGGACCAAACTTATTTCTTTTATGTGTAATCCAAGGAAATCACCAACTCCTTTAAATATTCGGAACATTTCTTCCGTCTCTTTCAACCATTTTTTTGTCGGACCTTTCAACTTTAATCATTTTATGAAAGTGAGAGGCAACCTTGGCATGATCTAATCTCATGGTGACATGAGTAGAGGCGTTGGCCTGATGAATTTGTACTTTTGGAAAAGTCGAAGTGGTTAATGGTAAGAAGACAAGATTCTCAGTCACCAGATTAACAACAGGGTCAACATCTTTCGCTCTTAGTAATTGAGTCAATTTTTCCATCATCACATTCTGGGACTTTATGAAAGAATCCATCATTTCTTTTTGAGCCTTAACCAACTACTCTTGTAAATCTTTTTTATCTTGCTTAATCTTAGCTAATCTTTCACCCATGGTTTTTGTCATTCTCGGGGTATGGTAGGATGTTTCTCACAAAACCCTCCACGAATCATTCTTATGTTTTCATGATTGAATACATATAAAATTGCTTAAATAAACTAATGCAAATGCAAAAGGTGTTAATTCTAATTAATGGTCACCATTAGAAAGACCTTTATTAGAACACAAGTTCCCCTTATACCAGATAGTTAAATTTCACTAGCTGCATACTTTGTACAGAAATGTAAAACCTAACTCCATACTTTTTCTAGTTCTGAAATGCAATTGTAAATGCAAAAGGTGTTATTCTAATTCTCATGCTTTGTATAGAAATGTAAAACTTAACTACATACTTTTCTAGTTCTCATGCCTTTTACAAAAAGTAAATCTAAGCAAATTTTAGAGTGAGTTTCTTTTTTGTGACTTTGGAAGATCCACAGATAGAGTTTCTATACTAAAAGGGTCCTCGAATTATCCTTTGCTGGTGCTCCTTGGGCCTATCAGACTCTCGATCCTCACCCATTATAGGCTTATACTGACCAAGTTCAATTCGAGAGAATACATTTCCCTATGTCCATGTGAGGTAAATCAATTATCCACTCGTTAACACAAGGCATATACACTTTAGAGGTTACTTACTAAAGCCCATACGGAGAAAAATAATTTTTCTCACGTAAGCGTATTGTTCACCCCTACTTAAAGGGACAAAGCACAGTTAGAAGGCTCTAGATATAATGATGTGCTTGAGGGGAAACTTACAATCATTTGCTTCGACCAAGAAAAAAATAGTTTTAAAATTAGCCAAAAATCTGAAACATGGTGAAATCACACAATAGTACAACTATTTATTAATAATGATAAAAAATGATGTATGACTTGATGAAATACAAAACAAAATTAAAGGGATCAAAATTTAAATATCACTTGAATTTACAATTTTGAATATGTAGATGACGTATAATCGATTAAGGCATGACTCTCTAAGCTCCTGAGCGGAGTCACCAAGTTGTCAGAACGGTCCTTAAGTGTTTTGGGGCTAGGGTGGAACGATCCAACTTAATTTTCGAAAATATTAGGTTCTAGAAAAACAAATAGATTTGGAGTCACCATCGACCATTGGGTTAGGTAGGTCGAACAGCTAAAAATATATTTTCAAAAGAATTTTCCGAAAAAATAATTTTAAAAGATAAAAATGGTTAGCGTTTAACCAAAAACTCGCTTTGAAAATGGTTTAGGAGTTGATTACGCGTGGGAAGGATGAGCACCCTCACAGCTCCCAAAATTAGTACCTAAGCAACTATAGTCATCTAAATAATAAAAATTGCAAATTCGAATATTTATTTGAATTACGATATGTTTTTGAGAAATTTTAGAAAGGCTATTATTTTGTTTGAACAATCCTTGAAAAACACACTCCTTGTCATTTAAGGTGCATTTATATAGATTCCTCATACGAAATAATATTGTCATATGTTTTATTATAAAATACATACATATGATATAATTAAAAACTCAAATACAAAAGAATAATATTTTGTACGAACAATCCTCAGAAACACATTCATTGTCAGTCAAGACGCGTTTCCATTAATTCCATTCACAAAATAATATTACATTTTAGAAACATGAGTTGTATGTATACAATATAATATATTACACAATTTTAGAAATAATCATGCTGTACATATTACTTTTTATCAAAACAATGGCCACAAGTAATCATGGTACTATAATAAATTGCATTAAAAAAATAAAGGGACTGTAAATAAATTGCAGGAAATTAAAAGCTGGAAATAAAAGACTAAAGGATTAAAATAAAATAAAGAAAAATGAAGTGCATGAATTAAAAAGAACATAAAATTAAACTTCTGAAATTTAAATAGCATAAATATAAAATTACACAAAATAAAAGGTAGAGGGATAATATTTAGAATTTTAGCAAGACCATAAAAAACACTATTCATACATAAGGGTGAGTCATCAAGAGATCGTAAATTAATTCTCATAATTTTTTAGAAATTAGTAAGTTAGAAATATGCAGTTAAAAGTTAGAAGTTAGTAAAAAAGTTTAAATTTACCCGGACCATAATAATGCAGGTAGTATTTCAGGGCGAGTCACCGCAAATATATATTAAACTGCTGAAACGTAACTTTTTTTTTTAAATCAATGACCATAAAGTAAACAAAATTAAAACGGAAGCGATATTTTAATAATTAACCCTATATACTATAAATAAAAGAGGAAGAAGAAAAGTAAGTGGGTCGTAAAAGAAAAGTGGAAGCTTCCAGCGGTCAAGGTGAACCAATAAACCCCAAGTATATATTTAATGGTTGAATTACTTGAAAGACACTCAGTTATTAGTAAAATTTTAAATTAATTATCTAATTTGAAAAACTGATAAAATAGTCACTCAAATAATAGATTGTCTCGTACAAGTCATTGACCAGTTCAAAATGAAATGATTTGCCGTTAGGAAATATTATTTCTTGATGATTTTCTCATTTTGGTAATTATAGCACATGCCATCTAAATATTAGTAAGATTATAAATATTTCACTCAATTTATGGTAAAATTACAATTAGGTCGCCTAATTTAAGAAAGACACAAATGAGACATTGGATTAAATGAGAAAGAAAACACATTTTGAGTTTTGGACTTCTCAAAGATCATGGGACCCATTCGACGATTCCAATGGTAGAGTGAATGGTAGAGTGACTGGATTTGGTGAGAGGGAGGATATCACTAGGTAGAAGTCATCTAGTGGTCAATAACGTAGATCGAGGTTCAAGAATTTTAAAGGTTTTACGGCGTGATTTTAAGGTTTTTGAGTGAGATTCTCGAGAATCTAATCCGATAAATTGAATTGGGGAGATCGAGATGAATCTTATGGTGGAAATTCGGGATTCATTGCCCGCCTCGTATGGCATTTCACGGTCCAAACACCTGTTTGTTACAATCTATTAAGTGACTCGTGTGTATGTTTTAGAAGGATAGTGATCCATTTGTAATCATGCAAATAAAATTAGCTGTGGTGTAATATACCCTTATTCAATTAGCACATTGTTTTGGAGGTCAAATCTTAAACATTAACGTCAACTTGTATCACAATTGTTATCATTTATTGATTTTGTTCAAAACTGGAACATAGGCGATGCGATTAACAATGTTTCTACTGCAATTTCTACGAATCTCAGCATATTTTATATATTAGCAGCCTCGCGTGTCTTAAAAAGGAGGTGGTAGCTTTGCTTGAACAGGCGGCCCTTGAGAGATGGTAAAAAAAGGCTCCTGAAAGAAACAGTCTAACGGTCTAATCATTGATCTGCGAAGTCCAAAACCAACAAATTCACGCATTTCTATAAAGCTCCTACGTATCTATAAATTACGCGACCGCATGCTCGACATGCACAACACAAACCTCATCGAGATTAAGCCTACTACTTGCGTACTTGTCATGGCTTCCCGTAGTAACTTTCTTCTTCATGCATTTCTTTGGTTGGCTCTTGCAACCACTGCTTTTTCCTTATCAACCAAATTTTATGACAGAGTTTGTCCCCAAGCTTTGCCTGCCATCAAGAGAATAGTGCAGACTGCTGTCCACAGAGAGCCCCGCATGGGTGCTTCTTTGCTTCTTTTGCACTTCCATGATTGCTTCGTTAATGTATGTTATCCTTGATTCATTTTTTGAAAAGTTTTAGTATTTGCATATAAATCTTCAACTGCATTGTGTTGCAGGGCTGTGATGGTTCACTTCTTTTGGATTCTACCCCTGCTTTCAAAACCGAGAAAAATTCACGTGGAAATTTGAATTCTGTGAGAGGTTTCGAAGTTGTAGATGAGATTAAGGCTGAAGTGGACAGAGTTTGTGGACGCCCCGTGGTCTCTTGTGCTGATATCTTAGCAGTGGCTGCTCGAGATTCCGTAGTTGCGGTAAAGTCCTTTATTGCCTCTAATATTTATCATGTAAAAACCAATATTTCTAAACGAAAACTACCATGATTGCAGCTTGGAGGTCCGGCATGGAAGGTTCGTTTGGGTAGGAGAGACTCAACCACGGCTAGTAGGGCCTTAGCCGACAGTGTGCTTCCATCGGCTTCAATGGATCTTCCTGCATTGATCAACAACTTCAAGAACCAGGGCTTGAACCAGAGAGATCTTGTAGCTCTCTCCGGTGGACACACCATTGGCTTATCAAGATGTTTAATCTTTAGGAACAGAATTTACAATGCAACCAATATTGACCCTGCCTTTGCCAAACAGCGTAGAGCCACTTGCCCACGCACCGGAGGGAACACTAATCTCGCTCCTTTCGATTCTACACCTGCCAAGTTTGACACTGCATACCTCAGCAACCTAGTGAAGCAAAGGGGACTACTCACCTCAGATTCGTATCAACTGCAGGGGGGCAAATTGATGACAATCTCAACATCAACTAATTCTTGTTATTTTATTAATTGCATGGGTCAAAGTGTCTTTATTCGACGGCACTACTTGATAGAAATGTCACCTTAAGTGCCTCTTATATTGTTTCAATCTTTTCATTGTAATATTTTCAAGTGTATTTATTAAAATAATTATTAATATAAGTATCCTCGAGATTTATTTTATATCATATTATATGCAAATTAATTATTTGTATTTATATTCATGGTGAGGCTATATGGACATTATAGTTGTTTCAGAACGAAATAATCTTTAAAAGACGAGTCTAAAATTTTCTCATGGTTAGATTATATGGCCTAGCTTTGGCAAAGGCACTATTTCAATCATTGGTATAAGGAAAAGAGTTCTCATAATATACTATTAAAAAGAAAAATGTCAACAATTTAAACTAAGATCGAACTCAAACCGAAGGAACACAACAATCATTGTTTAACACACACCAATACACAACCTAAACTTGACACCCTTTATATATAATTCCAGCTTTTGTGACGTAATCCGTAAATTATTATGATATCCAACGATCAAAACAATTTTCCAATTCTAATCCGTACAATTAGAGAGACATTTATATATAATACTTTTAAAAGAGAAAACAACTTAATTTTGGAAAAGATCAGGTTTGAGAAAAACAAATATATTTGGACTCGCCGTCAACCTTTGCGTTAGGTAGGTTGAACACCTAAAAATATCCTGTAAAACAATTTTAGGAAAAAATAATTTTAAAGAAAAAACAGTTTGCGTTTAACCAGAAACTCGTTTTGAAAAGGGTTCGAAGTTGATTACGCGTGGTGAATGATGAGCACCTTCACAGCGCCCAAAATTAGTACCTAAGCGATTATACGTCATCTAAATAATGAAAATTGCAAATTCGAATATGTATTTAAATTACGATATGTTTTGAGAAATTTTAAAAAAGATATTATTTTGTACGAACAATCCTCGAAAAAACACACTCCTTGTCAGTAAAGGCGCGTTTCTATAGATTCCTCATACGTAATAATATTGCCGTATTTTTTAATCATAAAATACATACATTTGATAAAATAAAAAACTCAAATACAAACGAATAACATTTTGTACGGACAATCTTCATAAACACATTCCTTGTCAGTCAATGCTCGTTTTCATTAATTATCCTCACAAAATATTATTACTTTTATTAAGACAATAATCTATGATAAAAAACAATCATACTGTACATATTACTTTTATGAAAACAATAATATATACGAGTGTACATGATAATATTTGCACATATGCTACACGAATTATGATGGACTAAAACGTAATGGATGAAATCATAGAAAATTGAATACAAATAAATTTTAAAAAAAAAACATTAAGTTAAATCGCACATTTAAACACGGGAAAGAGACAAGAAAATAGATAAAGAACGCTAAATACACATATTAAAATCTAAATAAACCATCCATATATAGAACTAAAATGATAGATATAAAGATATAATGCTAAATATATCGGAACACACAACAATGGCCACCAAGTAATCATGGGATTATAATAAAATGCATAAAAAAAATAAAGGGACCGATAATAAATTACAGAAAATTAAAACCTGGAAATAAAAGATTGAAGGATTAGAAGAAAAAAAGAAAAATGAAGTGCATGAATTAAAAAGAACAGAAAATTGATTCTAAAACTTAGTTCCGACGAGGAGTTCGAACAACCCCGGCAAGCAATTATACCCCTCTCATTTCTTATTATTATACTTTGGTTCTAAAACTCAAATAAATTGGTACAGAAAATAAAAAAGAATAAGGTAAAATACATTAAAAAATGTATTGCTTTCTTTCTTTTCGAATCAGGGAAGAAAATTACATTCGTTCTTTTTTTTGAATGGGGGAATGAGGATCTTTTTTACATCTTTTTTTGGGGTTTTATAATAACCCATTTACATTGGTTACCAAATGAAAAATAAAAATCTCATCTTTTTTTCTTTTGTTTGTATGTGCACGATGGATGATGATGGAGTAATCGAAGAGGGCTCGTCTGTGCTGATAGTTGTCGTGGAGGACGAGAGAGCGGGGGGGACCAATGCATGTTACTGATGAAGCACTCGGGACCACCTTACGTGAAAATTTATTGTAAAAGGAGGGACCACGGTGCTGTTGGGAAGGCTTGGGTCCACTGCTTGGTAGCCACAATTGAAGTTGATGAGGCAGGGGTGGCGCTGGCGGCTACAGCTTCTCCATATGTTTGGGTTTATATTTTTTGTTTGTTAATACTTTGGGCTATGTGGGCCATTTGATTTAGGGTTTATAGTTTGCCAATTAAGGTATTTTATGGATAGATTTGAAGTACTAGTAATGGTTTGTAATTAGACTATTTGGTTATTTGTTTGATTGATTCGTGGCATTCTTTTCTTTTTCACAAAGGCAAAAAGGTACATTTTGAAGTTCATGTACTCGAATAAACGAAAGCCCAACAATATATTCTTTGCCCAAATAAAACCAATTTGATCTTCAAATTTATCCAAGTTTGATTAAAGGACTCGGAGAAATTTAGGGTATTACAGATGTGTTTAAGTAACAAAATTGCTATAATCCGACTCAACAATAAGCTTTAACAACTCTACTCACTTGAGATCGAATAAGCCTCTTTAACCCCATAAGCTTAATGGAAGTGATATCAACATTACATTCGTTTTTTTTTCAAATGGGGGAAAATGACTTTTTTACATCTTTTTTTGGGGTTTTATAATAACATATTTATAGTGGTTACCAAATGAAAAATAAAAATATCATCTTTTTTGCTTTTGTTTGTATGTGCACGATGGATGTTGATGAAGAAATCGAAGGGGGCTGGTTTGTGCTGGCAATTGTTGTTGATGACTAGAGAGTAGGGGGACCAGTGCATGTTGCTCCTGAAGCACTCAGGACCACTTGGCGTGGAAGCTTTCTATCGTTGGAAGAATCACAGTGCTGTCGGGAAGGCTTGGACCACTACTTCGTGGTCACGGTTGAAGATGACGAATCAGGGGTGACATTGGCAGCTACAACTTCTTAATATGTTAGGGTTTATTTTTTTGTTAATGGTTTGGGCTCTGTGGACCAAATGAAAAATAAAAATCTTATATTTTTTTGCTTTTGTTTGTATGTGCACGATGGAATTAGATATATATATAGTTAGAGCAAGTTGAAATGAGCTAGTTTATGCTGGTAATTGTGATGGAAGAGGAGAGAGAGGGGGACCATTGGATGTTGTTGCTGAAGCACTCGAGACCACTATAGACCACATTGTGTGGAAGCTTGCTATATCTGGAGGGACCACTATGCTACTGGGAAGGCTTGGGACCACTGCTTAGTGGTTACAATTGAAACTGACGAGGCAGGGGTAGTATTGGCGGCTACAACTTCTTAATATATTAGGGTATATTTTTTTTGTTAATGCTTTGGACTATGTGGGCCTTCAATTTAGGGTTTTTAGTTTGGCAATTGGGTTGTAGTATGTATAGATTTCAAGTACTCATAATGGTTTGCAAGTGGACTGTTTGGTTATTTGTTTGATTGATTGTGGCATTCTTCTATTTTTCACATAGGAAACAAGGTCCAATTTGAAGTTCATCTACTCGTATAAACGAAAGCGCAATAATCTATTCTTTTCTCAAACCAAATCAATTTGATTTTCATCTTTATCCAAATTTGATTAAAGCACTCAGAAAAAATTAGGGTATTATAGCAGCCCCTCTTTTCTTGTTATTGTGAAACAAGAATGTAGCAAAGACAAATAATGACCTAATTTCGTCTTACTTGCTTGCAACTCCACTTTTGGCACCAACATCCTTCTTCAATCTTTCGTTGTTTTGGCATTCTAAGTTTTAATCGAATAATTTGCTTCTTTGTATCCAATAATCTACTTATTCGATTTGCCTTAATCTCTCAAATGTTGAACCAATTTTGGAAATAGTCTATTTGATAAGAAACTATCAAAATCGCTTTCTTACTTTTAAAAAATTTCATTTTCTGGAAATCTTAAATGAGAAACTTTGAAAATTGCTTTATCATTTTTTACAAATATCATATAAAAACATGTTAGTGGTCGGGTAACATGCCCCACTTCAAAGTAATGATTTTTTCGTAGATTGGGCTCCTCCATTCTTGAGATTATGCAATTTTGAACTTGATATCCTCTATCTTTAAATTTGACTTTCTCTTTTTGAGGTTCTATTTTCATAAATATTCAATTTTCTTGAAAATATATAAAATTTTTATCTTGAATGTGCAATGTAATTGTCTATGTATGAAAATAATGTTTAAAGGAATGCAATAATGCGATTCAAGCATAATCTAAGGAAAAACTTGCGAGAGGGAAAAACCATCCTTAAGAAAAGGGAATATTCTAGAAATGTTCTCATGAGAGGTGAAAAGGTCTTTAACAAAGACGAAGTTAGGATTTCCAAGGAAACAATCCTAAACAGACGAAGTTGATTTCTACAAAAACTGTCTTAAGGAAGACAAGACTAAAGTTTTGGGAAACAATCATTAGAAAAACCAAATTGAGCTTTCTAGGAGACATGTCCTAAAAAAGTTAAGACTGAGGTTTCTAGGGAAACAATCTTAAGAAAAATAGAATTGGTTTATCAGAAAGGATTTTAAAGACATCCTCACGAGAGGGGAATCAAAGCATTTTTGGTTGTACGCCTTAAATGCAAAAATGAATGTCTGATGCAAAAATGAAAATTCATATGAAATGTAGGTTAATGATGTTGATGTATGTTTTATTGATCGATGGCCATAAATGGATGCTCACAAAGTCCTCGTTCTTGTCGTGATTGAATCTTCTTCGTCCTTTTTCACACTGGTCCGTATAATCACATTTTCAGCTCACAGTAACATGCTCTTCTTTCCCCAAAACAAAATTACCCACAAGATTCAGTTTTCTTTCCACTAGTTTCTGATTCAGAGCTTTCAGGTTAGAGAGTCTATTTTCAAAGACACATCACCAATTTCTAGGAGGGATTGTCTTGTTTAAAAATGTTTTTCGTCCTCTTTCATTTTTGAAATATAAAAAACTTCAAAGAAAAACTTTATGACAACAAAATGATG